CAGGGGCTTGTGTGTATGCATGCATGTGGAGGTCAGAAGACAACTTCAAGTGTTCTTCCTCAGGTGCTGTGCAGGGTTTCACTGGCCAGGAATTCATGAATTAGGCCAGGCTGGCTCCAGAAAGCCATGTCTCACTAGCCTCACCAGTTACACCAAGCTGTCTGGGTGACCAGAAAGCCCCTGGGATCTTCATCTCTCCAGCACTGGTTACCAGCACATACCACTATGGGTCTGGGGGATTGAACTTAGGTCCTCGTGCTTGCAAGGCAAGGCCTTTACCAACTGAGCCATCTCGCCATGCCCAGTTCCTTGTTCTTTACTCAAGTTTTAGGATTTCCATAATGAGGATTGATCTTTAGTAAAACTTCATTTTACTCCTTATGATGATCCTATGCCTTTCATGAGAAATTAATTCCAAGATATGTTATTTTTCCTGGACATTTTCACACTGTCTTCAAAAGGCAGTTGTTCTTAAACAACGATTTTAACTTTGCCTCAGTGGCAAATACAGATAATATATTAAAAAGCACCACACACACACACACACACACACACACACACACACACACACACACACACAAAATCACGTCAGTTTTCCTTCCCTTTATTGGAAGTGTTCCCAAAGGTAAATATTGTAGCCTAGAGCACAGTCATTTTCTCACTTTAGCATGCGGCTTCAATCCATTTTCCATCTGGGCTATTTTTGAGCAGAAATTGAGAGACATATTTCAATGTGAAATCAATTCTAAATAGAGACAGAATCAACCACCAGGGTTTGAATGTCACAGCTATGCGCCAAACAGTCCATTAAGTCCTAGAAAAGTATCCCAACTTTACAGATCCAACCAGAAGCCATGGGCCACACAGGCAAGCTCGGGACCACTTGAGATGACAGGTGTGCAGAATGGGAAGAACAGAGGTAGTTTTTTGCAATGTTTCTGCCTCCCTAATTTTGTGGTTAAATATCAAATACATATAGGCATAGAAGCAAAGTCATTTTCCTTCAAATCTTATCCTTCAAAGATCACCCTAACTTCTTCATATATTATGTCGCTCATTTTCATGTAGTTAATGCTGACAAGGGAAATACTCTAGAACTTAGTGTTGCCTGTTATACACTTGTTTAAATAGCTTTCCTACAAACAAATCATAAGCTGGTGGACACATGATCTCACCTCTTATTAAAGAATGAACTCATGGGAATACCTCACATGCTTACCTTTCACTGTCTTATGTGTCCCAAGTACTCTTCTAATTTATTGTTGTAGCCTCTCTGTTCTTCCGAGTTGGTGACTCAGGTTCTGCTTGGATTCTCAGCAGCTAGTCAGGGCTGTGCAAACATTGTGTTGATCGTTTCTTTTTTGCAGTTATTCTCATGTAATCAAAAGGAAACATTATTTGAAATAGAAATGGAATTTTTGAGGTTATAAAATTTAAGAATCCTAGTATACCCCTGGTGCTAGATCCATTTGATTTAGAGAGATTTTATGTAGCAGAAAAAGTCCAGAATGAGATGGAAGTGAGTTGCCTTTAATACCTGTGAAATAGACTGAATTTTTGCAAGTTGTTGTTGTTGATGTGAGGAGAATGTATGGTGCAGCATAATTTCAAATTCCCCCCCCCCCCCCCCCCCCCCCCCCCCCCCCCCCCGAGACAGGGTCTCTCTGTAGCCCTGGCTTTCCTGGAACTCTTTGTAGACCAAGCTGGCCTGGAACTCAGAGGTTGGCCTGCCTCTGCCTGCTGAGTGGTGGGATTAAAGGCGTGCTCCACCACTGCCTAGTTCCACATATTCTTTAACCTAGGAAATTTTCATTCTGGAATTTCTCCAAATGATCATAGAAAATCACCAAATGTTACATATTATGTCTAAATTACATTCATTATGATGTTTGCTCATAATAATATGAAATTGGAAATGATACAAATGTCCATCATAAAATAATTGGTTACATAAACTGTACCTGCTGGGAAACTCTGTATCTATTAACAATGATGTAAATCTGCATTTGTTAAACACAGAGAGGATAACAGCTGAATGGTGTCCACATTATTAAACCACAGTCATTGTGCTGGTTGATTTTCCTGTTGTGGTGACCGAACAACTGACAAGAAGCCAGACTAAGGAAAGGGGTTTACTTTAGCTTACAGTTCAAGGGACACAAAGCCACCGTGGGGGGAAAAGCACGCAGCAGGAACATGAGGTGCCTGGTCCCATCCTTTCCCTTATCAGGAAGGGAGGGAGGCAGACAGAGAAGGAGAGAGAGACAGAGAGACAGAGAGAGGAGAGAGAGACAGAGAGATAGAGAGAGAGATATTAAGACCCACTGCAGCGACCCATTTCCAACAACACATTTCCCCTCCTAAAGACTTCGCTCTTGAAGATCCCACAATCTTCCCAAGAAAAGCCACGACCCCGCTGGCAATTGCACACATGAACCTGTTGGGGCCATTTCATATTTAGATCACAGAAGTCAGTTTTGCATAAGTTTGACAAACTGCTCCTTGACATCTTTTTCCGTGTAGTTAGGGAATTCTGCGTCCTCTGGCTGTTCTCCAGCCTAGTCCATTGCCTCTTACCTAGGCATTGCCCAGCCACACTGGGTCATCTTCACTGTTGACACTCATCCCTCTGGGGAACTCTGTAGCTAGAGTTTTCCTGCCTGGCCCACAGTCAGGGCAAATCTCTCTCACCTCCCAGTTCCACAGTCACTCAGACCCGACCAAGTAAACACAGAGACTTATATTGGTTACAAACTGTATGGCCATGGCAGGCTTCTTGCTAACTCTTCTTACAGCTTAAATTAATCCATTTCCATTAATCTATACCTTGCCACATGGCTCATGGCTTACCGGCATCTTCACATGCTGGTTGTCATCGTGGCGGCTGGCAGTGTCTCTCTGACTCAGCCTTCCACTTCCCAGCTTTATTCTCCTCCTTGTCCCGCCTATACTTCCTGCCTAGCCAATGGCCAATCAGTGTTTTATTTATTGACCAATCAGCAACACACTTGACATACAGACCATCCCACAGCACTCTCTCTCTCTCTCATCTCTCTCTCTCTCTCTCTCTCTCTCTCTCTCTCTCTCTCTCTCTCTCACACACACACACACACACACACACACACACACACACATATCCATGCAGGTTTCTCAAGAGGAAGAGTCTCATTTATATGTCTGAACAGTGGATGGATATGCACATATGTACTGGGTTTTGTCATGCCTCTGACCTCTCCTCACACAGTAACCAGCACCACTTATTTAAACCAACACTTACAGAGGTATGAGAATAGCCAAGCCATACTCTCTCAAATAATTTGTATTCTATTGTGACAAATGGACCTGTTGAAAATAAAAATGGCATAAAATATTGCAAGTTCTCCAATAAGAACAAAGCATGTCAGGAGAAGAGTGGGAAAGCGCCGGGCTCCCAGCATCCCCTCAGGACCAGAGAAGGGCAGCTATGGAAGGCTTTACAAAGCCGATCTTGTTCTGGATCTTAAAACATCGGAGCTACTTTGTTGGGACTGGATGTGATGGTTTTTGCTTTATCTTATTATTTTTCATTTTGTCCTGTTTTGTTGTCGTCTCTTAGAAGCCTGTTCTTTTCTAACGAGAGACAGAAAGGGAGTGGATCCAGAGGCCGGGGTGCTGGGGAGGAACTGGGAGGAGAAGAGGGGAAACTGTAATCAGGATATATTATATGACAAAAGAGTCTATTTTCAATGAAAGGGGAAAAATGAAAACAACAAAAAACAAAACCACTAGATCCGGAGCTGGTAGCCCAGTGGAAGAAGGGAAAACCTCCCTGGCCATACCCTCCTCTCCTTTTCAAAACACACTCTGTTTGTGACAACTGTGTTTAACTCTGCTTGCCACGGCTGACTATTCACTCTATTCACCAAATTTAACTATGTAAAGGGAAGTCATGCTTTTCTTACTCACTTCTGTATCCAAGAGTTATGCATGGTGCTTGGCCCAAGGGGTGGGAAGGAAGATAAAAGGGATGGGTAGAGTGGGATCTGGGGTGGGGGGATAAAAGGGATGGGTAGAATGGGATGGGGGGGAGATAAGAGGGATGGGTAGAGTGGGATCCGGGATGGGGGGGGAGATAAGAGGGATGGGTAGAGTGGGATCTGGGGTAGGGGGATAAAAGGGATGGGTAGAGTGGAATCTGAGGTGGGGGGATAAAAGGGATGGGTAGAGTGGAATCTGGGGTGGGGGGATAAAAGGGATGGGTAGAGTGGAATCTGGGGTGGGGGGATAAAAGGGATGGGTAGAATGGGATGGGGGAATAAAAGGGATGGGTAGAGTGGGATCCGGGGTTGGGGGGGGGAGATAAAAGGAATGGGTAGAGTGGGATCCGGGGTGTGGGGGGGGAGATAAAAGGAATGGGTAGAGTGGGATCCGGGGTTGGGGGGAGATAAGAGGGATGGGTAGAGTGGGATCCGGGGTGGGGGGAAAAAGAGATCAGTAGAATGGGATGGGGGGGGAATAAAAGGGATGGGTAGAGTGGGTGGGATCCTGGGTGGGGGGGAGATAAAAGGGATGGGTAGAGTGGGGTGGGGGGGAGATAAGAGGGATGGGTAGAGTGGGATCCAGGTGGGGAGGGCGGATAAGAAGCAGGGAGGGAAACAGAAGTCACGTCACAGGACCTCTTACCTATATGAACCTGAACAGGTTTTGTAATCTCCCCCACTTTAATTCCTTTATCTGTAAAATGGGCATAATTACAGCTGGCGTTTAGTGAGGTAATCCTCGGAAAGGGGCTTTCCACATTGCCTCCTGGCCAGTGTTTGGGTGCTAACCTTAATGGTTAAGGGTCCGGCCATCTTAGGCCACATTACAAGGATTCTTCCAGAACAAAATGAAGCTTTAATGGGTTTAATGGCCTCTTTGTCTTCCCTTGCCAAAGATCTCTGTCCCTGCGGTTGACCTGCCTTGCTGTTACCACTGGTAACATCTTCTCGTCACTCATTTAGAAGGCTCTTGTATTTCAGGCTCGTCCTTGGCTATCTCTCTGATCCGAGTGAGGACCTTCAGGATCCTGTGTGTGACAAATTCTTCAAGGAGATTTGGGTTTCAACAGCAGCTCGGAATGCTACCATTTATGATAAGGTGAGACTTCCTTACCCCTCCCCACCCTTTTTCTTCCATTCTTACAACAATTTTATTGATACAGATAGACTATTATTAGTATAAAATAATCAATATACCTCCCTGTTGTAAAGCTATCTCTTTGTAGACATTGAAATGCAAAGATCAAAGGGCCAGGGATATAGTTCAGGGGTTGGGTGTTTGCCTAGTATGCACAAGGCCCTGGGTTATCATTTAGAAGAGGCCTTAGTGTGACATCCTGTCCTCCATAGGATGCAGGGCTGTCGCCAAAAGCATCAGGGGCCTATGACTAGCCAGCTTTTCAAGGTGTTTAGTGACAAAGAGAAGGTAGGTCATTATTATCCAAAGATGATCACACTGGTGCTCATCCCATCTCAGCTGGTGTCCAGTGGGAACTGTGTGCAACGGCTTGGCTCTCTGAGTTTTCCTTTTTCTCCCTGTGGTTATTAAAGGGTTAAGTACTATTTGGTGATGGAATAGGTTACCTCAGGAGAAAGCCAGATTTATTAACCATCTGTGAGAAACTGGGTAAGAACGCGTTCTCCTTCAGGTCTCCCAGAGCCCCTCTATACAGACGTGTTGTCTTTTTACTGGGACAGGACAGTCTATGTCGCTTTATTTCATACTGAGGACTCCAGGTTATGATCAAGCAGGCCATATGACAACAGAATGTTAGAAACTCATCGTACTGCCTGTTCAGTCCCCGATATTGGGGAGAAATAGAGAGAAAAGACATTTTGGTCATAATAGGATAAATCTGCACATGACCCTGTGGAATTACATCTCTTGGGTATAGGAATGATGCTGATTCTGTAAGTTCCTGTCCTGGTTTTTATGCAACACCTACTGAAATATACAGGGGTAAAGTGCTGTGGTGTCTGAACCATATTTCAGTTAGCAAAGTGTTACATGTTAACAACTGTTGACATGTGTATCTTTCAAAATGAAAAATTAGAGAAACAGACCTTGGAATTTTCCCCTTAGACAAGCATGTCCAGGGAAATTCAGGGATGGTTATTATGTTAGAATTTCTTTCCTAGCAAGCATTCTTTACTGCTAGCTTGTCTCTATTCTGTGGCTAATGAGCACCATAGATGATAAAGTAAGAAGTGGGTGTGGCCTTTTAAAATGAAAACAAATCTAACAGTTTCTTTGTAGCATATAGAAACAGCAACTGTTGTTGGCTGGTTTGGTTGGTTGTTTGAAACCAGGATTTACTACATAGCCCAGAGGGTCTTAAACTTAGGATTCTCCTGCCTCAGCTCCCATGTGTTAGAGATTATAGACACGCGCCACTACACCCAGCTGTAAAAAGTAACCCTTAAGCCTGTGCTTTGACATAAAATTAATGTTTCATAAGACAAAGGTTTTGCCTGATGCAATGAATATCTTCCATAAGGAACACGTGCTTATTTTTAAATAAATAAATCAATTTCCAATTTGTATTTTAACAGGTGTTCCGTTGCCTTCCGAATGATGAAGGTGCACAATTTAATACAGCTGAGAGACTTTATAAGCAAGCCCCATATTAGCGAAAGATGACCCCGTTCGCCGCTGAGGGGGAGCTGAGGAAGACCCGAGGCTTCTTGGTTCAGTTCCCTTTTTATTTCCTATCTGAGGAAAACCTCCTGCCTTCTGTAGGAACCAAAGAAGCCATGGTTGCCCATGGAGGTTTGGACATAAGACAAACTCTGCTGCAAGTCAAGGATTTCTAACCTGAAGACCATATTGCATATGGTGACTTCCTAAGGACTTCACAGCCAAACTCAGGCCTGATACACTCCTGTGGACCAACCTACTGGACTCTTTGGAGTGAATGAGGGGTCAGTGGTCACACTGATGTAAGGACTCTCTGCATAAGCAAGCCTTCATCATGTATCCTGCCTGTCCTTGAGGTAGCATACGTTCAAACAATACCAAACACAGATGCAAATTACACAATACATATCAAAAACCCATCTCCTTTGCTAACAAAAATCGGCCTGCAACTGTGATTCAAACTGCCAAAAGTTGCCTGAACTCTCTTGTTCTCTGATGCTAATTAAGGCAGCTGGGGCCCACCAGGATGCCCTCAACTTGTCCATACAGCCCTGTTTAAGAGACTGCTGATCAATGAAAGATGTGGAGAGCCAATTTGAGAGACCCAAGGTTCCAGATGATGCTGGACCCACGTGGTTCTGACATGAGAGTATTTACTAATCCAAGAAGTTGCTTTCTGTTCCTTTTCAGTCACTGCAGGGACAGAACAGGCTTTGCCTAGCTACCCACATCAGGCACTTCTGAGGACAGCAATAGTGGCTGTTGACAACAGGAAGGCATTAAATTCCAATACTGAAGAAGAATTTCCCTTGGTTCCCAAAGATATTGCCAAGCTGTGTCCTTGTCATTGAGCCCCCGATAATATTTGTAAACATGTGCCAGGTATACCAAAACATAGCAACCAGATAAACACAGATAGAACCTCCAAGGTGTCAGTGGGAATCCAGTTCAGATAAAGGACAAGATTCCCCACAGTCTGTAGAATCCCTGTCCCCCTTAGCCACCAGATTGATGACAAAGCTGGATTTCTCCATAAGCGATCCAATGGATGCGATTTGTCTTCCAAAAGAAGCAGAGGTGTTATAAGCCTTCCAGCTGACAAGCAGGAGTCTGGCCTTATTGACCCTTTGGTCTTTCTGCTATGTCTTCCTTAGGGGAAAAGAAGCTGATTATAAAGAGGAGCTACTTTGCTTGCACTGATAACTATGCAGTAACATTTCAACATGGCTTCCAAAGAAGCTGCAACAGTAATTCACGTTGTCCCAGTCTGAAATGTGGATATCCACTTTCAGATGGTATGGTATCCTTTTTAGACCAAATTTCAGGGTTCCTCTCGAATCCTAGGAGCATCTGTGGGTTCCTGGAAGCCTCAGGTCCTTTGTGGTTCTCTTCAAAGCGACTCCCAACCCATGTTTTCATGAACAAATATGCTGGTTTAAAAGATGACACAGGACCACAAAACCAGTGTTATGGTTTAACAACAGAGTGACAGTCACATCCAAGGGAGGATGTCACCCCTACGGAACATTCCACAAATGAGGTGCATTTTGTAATCAACAATGGAAATGAATCTGTTTTTATGAATAAATAACTTATTTCTTGTATGGCCCAAGGATGGTGAGATGATTTCATTCTATAGTTGTAGTGAATAAGACCCGACGCAGACAAAGATCACATTGCATTTAAAATATTCAATGTGCATGGAATATCTAAAGATTTATTGTGTTTTATTTAAAAAAATTTTAAAGCTTAAAATGGTCAACTAGCTGATTCTTGGTTTTGTGCCCAATGTTCTGATACGATCCTAACGGACTGGCAAGAACCCCTAATAAGTCATTTACTCTGACCTTTCCCCACTGTGTAGACAAGGGACACTGAGCTTGTATTGGAGGAAGGAATGACGTAAGCCTGCCCAACAGATGTGCAGTGGGCTGCTGTGGCCAACGTCAGCCTCTCTGCACTTCGTGGTTACCCTGGACTGAGGACATGCAGCTTTCAGATGGCTAACTTATGCTGTGAATCCTGTGATCTGTGTTTGTCTCCACCTACTAGAATGGGAGCCGTAGATAGCAGGAACTTCATGGGTTATTTAGTCTTCAGAGCCTGAAACAGTGCCCAATACAAAGGAGATGCTGATAAATGTCTGTGGAGTGAATACATGATACATGATATGATGAGCTGAAGACCACACTGACTCTCCCCGTTGGTTTCTGTGGAAAGTTTTCCTACTGCATCTTCTCAAAGATAAGATGCTTACCTGCAAAGAGATGTACTTGGCGGGGCCTTGTGGGAAATTCAGTGTAATGAATATCTTCCTATGGTAACTGTTTACAGAGTTCAGCTGTCTACCAAGATGCCTAGAACATGGGCTCTACCACAAGCTGATTGCCTGCCCTTCTTTGACACCACTACTGCCTTCTAGAAATTACATTGCCATATCTGATAAAGACTTTAAAATGTGACTAGTTTATGCCCTGAAAAGCTAGTTCAGATCTGCTCAGCATTTCCGATTAACCGCAATCTTTTGAAATGCCGGTCAGCACTCACCTGATGTTCTGCCAATCTCTGTAACAATCTTTGTTTTCAAGAAGCAGAAAAGTCTATCATTAGAAGAAGTGGAGTAGAAACTGGTCAGACCTGTGGGAGCTTCTGTGGACATGCACCAAGCTGAGTGCTGTGGTAGCAAGTGGGATGCAGCAATTCCCTTCAAATCAAGTATCCATGAAGTGGGGTGACCTTAATCCTGAGCCGCAGGGCAGCACAGAGAAACTTAAGGGACTGATTGTGCATTATATTGTGAAATAAAAACATTTGTTTTTAAAGTGCTTTTCAAAGACAATTTTGTCAGCAGGTGGTCAAATTATGTACAGTGATCTCTTCCGTAAGAACTTGGGCAAATTGTAATATATCGTGAATTGATACAGCTGCGAGGAAAACATCTGCCAGAATGAGTTGGGAGAGTTGATTTTCTGTGTAGATGGTAAAGTGTTTGCCGCATAGACATGAGGCCTGAGTATGGGTTTCTGGCACCTACGTGAGAAGATGGGCAGGGTGGCCTTCATCTGTAAGCCTAGCCTGGCGGGGAGGAGACAAGCTGGTCCCAAGGCTGTTGGCCACCAGTCAACGCATTCCAGAAGCTCTGGATTCAGTGAGAGACCCTGTTTGAAAATGTAAGGTGGGCATCGAAAGGGAAGACCCTCCAGTGTTAGCTTCAGTACTTCCAGACATACACTTGTACGCGCACACACACACACACACACACACACACACACACACACGTGTATATTCATATACACATACACAGAGTCTACATTGCTTTTAAAATATTTTTAGGTCAGTATATGAAGTCATAGATTTTCTCATGACATGTTCATACATAGGTGTCATTATACTTAGTTCTCATTTGTCCCCCTCCCCCACTGTCCCCTCTGTCTGGCTCCCATCCTTCGCCAGCACACTCCATTACCCTCTACTTCTTCCTTTAAGAATCTACAGTTTTGCCGGGCGGTGGTGGCGCACGCCTTTAATCCCAGCACTCGGGAGGCAGAGCCAGGCGGATCTCTGTGAGTTCGAGGCCAGCCTGGTCTCCAAAGCGAGTTCCAGGAAAGGCGCAAAGCTACACAGAGAAACCCTGTCTCGAAAAACCAAAAAAAAAAAAAAAAAAAAAGAATCTACAGTTTTTCCTACAATCATTCCTCGTCTCTAACCAGAGCGCCTCTTCTCAAGAACGATTTATGTTTTTATTTTATCTGTATGTATGTGTCTGTGAGCATGACCATTTGTGTGTGAGCCTGTGGAGCCTGGACGAGGGCGTTGGATCCTCAGGAGCAGGTGTCACAGGTGGTTGTGAACTGCTTCTTCACATGTGGAAACCATTTTAGATGACAAGCACATTCCCTGGGAAAACCGGGATCAGGCCTGGTGTTTATCTACTTAGACCGCAGAAGTCCAAGATCAGAGTCCCAGCATGGGCGGGTTCTAGTCAGTGTGAACTTCCAGGCATGGCAAAGGCCACCTCGTCACCATGTGGCCTCTTCTTGGTTTAAGCAAGGGGCTGAGGGCAGGAGAGGAGACGAGAGAGGGAGGGACACCCACACACACCCACACACACGAGAGAGAGAGAGAGAGAGAGAGAGAGAGAGAGAGAGAGAGAGAGAGAGCCCTGCTGCTTTGCTTTCTGTTAGGCATGAGTCCATCGCAAAGGCCTCACCCTCATGATGTCTAACTAATGACCCTCCAAAGACCCATCTCCAGACATCACACTGCCGGTTGGGGGTTCAGCAGAAGAATTTGGGGAAGGATGCAAGCGTTCAGTGTAGAACAAACTTCTGAAATTGATCGTGTTTAGCTTACACTTTCAGCCACTGATGATCACTGTTTTAACCCAGGCTTGCTCTTCTTCCCTCCCTGCCTCAGATTAGCATGTTAGTGTTTCAGCTGCTGCCACCCTCTATGACAGAGCTGGAAGGACCCTGCATGTCTCCTCAGCTCCCTCTACCCTCCCTTCCAGGAAATGGGGGAGAAAAGGGGATTTTGAGTGAGTTCATGAATGTGTTTTCATTTCCTCAGAAATCTCTCTGAGGTCAGTTACTCTCTGGCAGTTTGCAGATCTGAAGTGAGCTGACCCAGGCCTCAGCCTTGGACACTTGAACCCGGAAGTGTGCTGGGAAAGGTGCTCAGGGGGGTCTGGCACAGAATAAAAATCTGTGCGTGTGTGTGTGTGTGTGTGTGTGTGTGTGTGTGTGTGTGTGTGTGTGTGTGCAGGTGTACTCACTAACCCATGTGTGCACATGTAGGATGTCTTATTCTATTGCCCTCCACTGTTTCTTTTGTTCATTAGACAGGGTCTCTCTGGAACTGGTGCTTGCCATTTTGGCTAGAACGCTGGTCAGTGGGCCTGAAGATCCACCTGTCTCTGGCTGTGCATCAGCACCTGACTTTTACATGAGTTCTGACTGGCTGAGCTCAGCTCACCACGCTTCCCAAGCAAGCTCTCTACCCACTGAGCCATCTTCCCAGCCCTGATTTGAGTGAGAAGAGATGCTAAAGAAGAGCAAGTCCATAATGTGATTCCTCGCAATAATTTTATTCACACATGAAACATCCCTGCTTCTCATGTGTTTGGAAGGACTCAGTACACCAAGGCAAAGCAAGGCAAAACACTCCTGAATTCCAGCTCTTGGCAGTAGAAGCAGAAGGGTTGCTCAACTACACAGTGAGGCCAAGGCCAGCCTGGGCTGCACAGGACTAGCCTCAAAAACAAAAACCTAAAAGCATCAAACTTTTCATGCTTTAATTTAGATTTATTTCATCTTTCCTTTTACCATTTATGATTATTAATTTTAAAAGCAATCAAACATTGTATAAAGGGAAATTTGTTGCAACAGTCACTTTAAATTTCAAGTTTTAAAGTCAAGTTGGAAAGAAGTCCAAGCAAACCATGGATTTGATTACCCTCTGTTTCTAAGCAACGTCATTTTTCACTTTATTCTAGATGGATATGGTTCACAGTGTGTTGTTCTGGGCCTGCTGGATTCCGGGAAGCTGGACATCATGTCCTCCTCCTGACTATTCCACTTAAATTAGTCATAGAAAATGGCATGAGCCCCAAACACCAATCCACCAGTGTTTTCAACGCAAAGCTGATGTCCTGCAGCTGGAGCGCACATACCACCAGCAGCAAATGCCAAGTGGTAGCGTCACTGGACCTGTCAGGCCTCTGACTGAAGGCTTGTCGATTCCAGACTGACCTCCTAGTTTTGATAATTGGCTTTTACTAGAATGAACCCACACATGGTGCCTTACATTCCTAGTTGACACCCCATAAATAACAAATGTTACCTGTCTTTAGAAAGGCTTTCTGGTCCCTCTACAGAAGATGCAGGGGGACCACCTTGACCAACAGATTCAGGGGCTTTTCATTTTCTCCATCAGTTGAGTCATCCAGCCTCCCTGTCCCAGGGTCCAAAATTTTGCAATGTGTTTGTCTTAGGAATGCAGTCACGTCCTTTTGGGAAGGAGACTCACATGGTTTGGGTTCTGGAAAGATGTGCTTGGCTGGAGCAAGCTTCCTCAGCTAAGGGCTTGTAAACAGCGCGGCTGGACATGTGTGCGACTGGACATGTGTGTGGCTGGACATGTGTGCAGTTGGACACGTGTGCAGCTGGACATGTGTGTGGCTGGACATGTGTGCGGCTGGACATGTGCGCGGCTGGACATGTATGCAGTTGGACATGTGTGTGGCTGGACATGTGTGTGGCTGGGCATGTGTGCAGTTGGACATGTGCGCGGCTGGACATGTGTGTGGCTGGACATGTGCGCAGCTGGACATGTGTGCAGTTGGACATATGTGTGACTGGACATGTGTGTGGCTGGACATGTGCGCGACTGGACATGTGTGCAGCTGGAACTGCACTGGGCTGGGCTTGTCTTCTGAGAACTGAAATCAGGGACGTCTGTGTCCCTGAGAGTGCTTTCCATGGGACACCGCAGATGATACTAACATCTGGCTTTGCTATGGAACCAGCCTTTTCTGCACATAGTACCTTGGCTAGGTTTTTGTTGTTGTTGCTGTTTGGTTTTTTTGTTGTTGTTGTTTTGTTTTTTAG